CTTAAAAAAAAGCAATTTGCAGATAAAGAAGAAAACCTTAAAGTAAAAATCTGACACATTACTGGTCAGTCTCTTAAGGACAAGGGTGAAGTTAGCCTTTATGCTCCTAGGGGAACATGACGATACAAGAAACCAAATAAGAAGTGAATGGATGAGGGCAAATTAAGAATGGCAGTAGATCCTGATGAAACTAGGGAATGAGCTAAAAACTGTAAAAGAATTTGATTTGACAACATTACAATTGAAGAAATGTTAGAAGGGTCTATTGATTATTCAAATGATTTAGCTTCAAAATATTCAGGAAGTTGGTCAACAATCAGTGATTTAACTGCTCAAAAGATTGAACAAAAGAAAGAATATGAAGAGAAAATTAAGGCATTAGAAGAAGAGAAAAAGGAGTTGGAAGAAGCATTAGAATTAGAGGAGGAAACATCTGAATGTCATTTAGAGGCTCTTGAAGTAGCTAAACAGTGGAGAATAAGACAAAATAAAGAAAAAGATGATAACTTTTAGGCAAATAGAGTTGTTAGAAAAAATTGTGGCATGGCAGAATTATCTAGCAAATAAGCAACTTCAAGAACTGCCAACTTTACCAAAAAAAGAAAGCAAATTTAAATCCTTAACTAACAAAATAACTAGAGAAAAATTCAACACCTATATTTTACAAAAGGATAAATAGTATGAATTAGAATACCAAGTTAATGAGTTAAGAAGAGGGGATAAATGGCATTGTAATTTCTGTTCTTTTGAAAGAGAAAGAAGTTTAACTGCCACTTACAAAATAATATCTTACAATAATGATTACAATGACATTGCTTGTATTTGTATTGAGTGCAAAAAAGCTCTTGATGATGATACTCTACCATGTTGTAATGATTGTGGTAGAATTACAAGAAACTGGATAGATTGTTTTTGTGATTTAAGAAAAGATGAACCAGTCAAAACCCCAACTATAACAGAAATAATGGCACAGAGTTATGTTGGCAGATTGGACCAGCAGAATAAAGACTTAAAACAACAACTATCCAGTGCTAAGGAAGAAATCAGTTCTCATTTGGAAGCCTTAGAAGTTTCAAAGGAATGGCATAATAAGCAGAAGCAAGAATTATTAGATAAAATTCAAAGACTTGAAAGTGAAGTTGAACAGTTAAAAAAACAGCAGACTCAACTAACTGCTCAAATTGAAGTTAAAGAAACTAAAAAATGACCTTGATTGAAAATAAAAGGTAATTAAAAATTAAAAAAAAGTAATTATTTGTCTTGGTTATTCTGCCAGATTTCTTTTTTTTCTTGATTCTTTACTAGAATTCTCTAATACTCTTTTGAAAACTCTTTCCTCTTGGTAAATTTATAGGTAATTCTTTCTTTTCTTAGATAAGTTTCCAGTGTCTGAGTATCATTTATTTTGAAAATGTAAGGAGCAATTTTTTCACCTTGTTCCTTTTTCAAAATACTTCTGATAGTACTATAATTCTTTGGTTCCATAGTAGACCTAATGTAAGTTAGCTTCATATTAACTATTTTTATATAGGGGCAATTCTATATATCACTTAAGATAGCAAATGGTCATTATAAAACCGTTAATTATATAATTGCATTACAAATGATCCCTGAAATTTTTGGTAATACCAATGTTCACTTTGTCTGGTTTTGTTGCAGCATGCCCCATATAAATTAATTTCATATTAACTATTTTTGTCTAGATGAATATCATGACCACATTACATTGGTAATAGAATTGTGATGTTAAACCAACAATATTGATCCCTGAAACTTTTGGTAGTATATACCAATGTTCACTTTGTCTGGTTTTGTTGCAGTATGTCCCATATAAGGTACTATTTGATTTGCATAAATCAATCAATAATCAAATTCTCTTTACTAATAAAACAAAATAAAAGCCACGGCCTGTAGTTGAGAATTTTTTAAAAGAATTGGAGATGGATAGTATGGGAGCTGATATAGGTTGTGGAAATGGTAAATATATTGATGTGAATAAAAATATTTTTATGGTTGGGACAGATAGGTAAATAAATGAATCAATAGAGAGAGAGAGAGATTCTTTATAATTTGTCAAATTTCTAAAATTTTTTTTTAATTTAAAAAAAAAAATAGAAGTTCTAAATTAATTGAGATATGTAAATCAAGAGGATTTGAATGATGCATTAAATTTACCATTTAGAAATGGATGCTTTGTATTTTTATTCCATTCATTTTTTTCGTAATATTGATTTTATTTTTAGGATTTCGTAATTTCTATAGCTGTCATTCATCATTCAACAACTTCAGAAAGTCGTGTTAAAGCAATCAAGGTAAACAAACAGATGATGTTGATTACAATTATCATGACAATAATATATTGGAAAAAAATGAATAATAATACATATATATTATATATGTGACAGGAATAACTAAACCAAATTCTAAGATATTAATATATGTATGGGCATTGGAACAACAATCAACACCAAAGAAAAATGCTAATGGTGCTGAAGCTAGTAGTGATGGTGGAGAACCAAGAAGAATTTTTGATCAAAATTATCAATATGTTTTTGTACCATGGGTGATTCTAAAAGATAAAAATTATAAAGATATAAAACAGAATGTGGTTTTTAAAAGGTATTCAAACAATACTCTTTAAAAGATTATTGTTTGATAAATAGCATTGATAATTAATTATACTATTCATGACAATTGGTAGATATTATCATTTATTTAAAAAGGTGAATTGGACAAGCTACTGATAAATACAAATTTGGCAAAAATACTGAAGTCAGGTTATGATAAAGATAATTGGTATGTTATTGCTGAAAAAATATAATAATCATAATAAAAAATATAAAAAGTGTTGTAGATGTATACAAAGATTATATATTATTTACATAGGATTGTCCCCTTTTAATACCTTATTTGGATCCAGCTTTACTTTTCTAGTATAACTATCATACCAATCTTGAAATGATTTTAATGACAAAAAAAAATCACCAGCTCCAATAGCATCAGAACCAAAAGGAATTGAAGTTGTAGCAAATGAAGTAACATAATTATAAAGATTTTTTAGTATGTTCATAGTAATTTGATTAATAAGATCAAAATTTGGTATCGTGGTACTATTTGTAGCAGAATTTGTGTTTGATGAATTGCTTGGTGGTAAAGTTGCAAGTTCAGCTTCTACTACTGAAATAGGTTCAATAGCTATTCCTAAAGTTGCTGTTACTGGTTCTGATGATGATGATTGATTTGTTGTTGGTAATGTTGAATCATTCAAATCCATTGACATTTCATCTGTTGATGTAGTTGAATTCCCAATTAATTTTATTGGATTGAATGTAGGTGTATTTGTATTTGGTGCTAATGTTGAAGTAGATTTTGATGTGGAAAATCCACGAAGTCTAAAAATTGCACTAGGTTTTTCATTTGATAGCCTTTGTTTATTTATACCCCAAAAATCTTTTGTTACTAAAAAAAGATCATACATAAAATTCAGGTAAAATATATCTACTTACATCCCCAACAACTTCCAACCACCTTCACTACCTGGCCATAAAAAGTGTACTGTTGCTGCATAACCCGGATCAAATGGAATTGTACCAAGTAAAAATACCACAATATGATTTATACTTGCTGCATCTGGTAATTCAAATATATACTTATTCACATCCACTTGTTGAAGGTTTGTTTGAATCTAAAAAAAAATTTAAATTGATTGAAATAGGCCTATAATTAAAAATATATAGATAAACGCTCTTTCATATTATTGAATTTCTTATTTCTCACCAATCTTCCTGCTACAATACATCCAAACATTTTCTACCATAAAATAGTGTCGTCGACGCTTGCAATTATCACTTTTACATTTTAGTAGAAGATCTTCGTGTGATATATATAAAAATGAATTTCTATCGTGTAACAAATATGACATGATAATCAAAAAATCCTTGTTTTTCTATTTCATTTTTATTATAAAATATGGTATATTTATTATTTGCTTCTTTTTTTAAATGAAAAAGTATTTGATGAATTAAAAAAATCTATCGTTATCATTATTGTTCATTATTGTTTATCGTAGGGAGCTGTGAAACGATATCCATATCCAAAACAAGTTTGGTAAGTTTTAATTCTTTTGCCATTTATTTTATTTATTACTTGTTATACTAATTTAATCAATTAACATATATAGGTCGCCAGGTAATTAAATTTATTTTTTACCATAATGGAATAATTAATAATTAATGTTTTTTAAATAATTATAGCTGGGGGTTGGTGGACTCGACCATCAAATTGGAAGAGTAATACTGCTATATGTGCAGCTGGAATAATTGTCATGACAGGAGTTATTTGGAAGATTTCTAGTGATCATGAGGTAATCATTAATACTATCTATATTATTATATTGATTGGATCCATTATAATTATAATAATATAATAACAATAATTATTTTTAGTGGAGGCATAATAAACCAACTAGATGGATTCCTTCCATGATGGTAATATTTATTTATTTTTATACAATAGAGTAAATGAAAATAATCAATTTTAATAGAATTATTATCATTTTGATTAGTGGTCAAAACAATTTAAAGATGGTGAATATAGTAATTTGAAATTTGAACCAAGTAAATCTGAAGAAAAAGAGTAAAAATTAATTATTTAATATATGCCAAAAAATTTTAAAATTTTATTTAATCTATGTGAAAAAAAAATAAATTGATAATTATTATTACAATTAAAAATATAATCATCAATTAATAAATAAATCAAAAATACAATTATCAATTATTAATAAATTAGTAAACTAGTAAATTTCTATTTCTATCTATGTCTTATTCTTATCAACACAACTTCTTTAGATTCTTTATCAAATTTATTGAATTTAACATCATTTAGAGGAAACTGAACTGGCAGTTGTTAAAGAAGGTGGCAAAATTTCATCATCATCACCATTATTATTGATAGTGTTAATATTAGTAGTAGCATTAGGAAGAATTACATCATTTTTTTGTTTATCCTTTTTTTCATCATCATCTTCTAAATCAATTTTTTCTATTTCACGATCCTCTCCATTATCAATCTTTTCTTCAAATAATACTTTACTATATGAATGTACCACTCTTCCAAAATGCATCTATAAAAAGAAATAGTCAAACTTTTTTTAAAAAAAAAATCACATAAATTTCTTTTTGCCAAAAAAAAAAAAGGTAACTTACCAAAAAAATAATTTTAAGAAAATAATCAATCAGATAAAATATTAATGCTAATTTAGTAGCAGCCTCACAGGCATCACCAACTTCTTGAATTGTAGTAGCATTAGGATCATCTGGCATAGTTACAGTACTTGAATTTGATGGTACCCAATATCTTATATCATCTTGACAATTATACATTGTATCATCTTTCCATTTAAATGCTAAAATCAATTGAACCAAATGTAAAACTAACAATAAAACAACTGAAAGCCAATATATAATTGAAAATATTTTTACTTTGTTTTTATCATTCTTTTTTTTTTAAATTTTTTGAAATTAGTGAATAATAATAACTAGTTGAAAAATGAAATATATACTAAGTGATTTGTAGAAATAATAATTACCATACGTAATGCATTTATACCATATATTGCAATTATTGCCACCAAAAAATATAAAATACTTAAAACTATCGTGAATGCTCTTGGTAGATGTGTTATATATACTAAAAATTTAATTAATTAATAACAAACTTAATTGAACCAAGCATCATACACTTTCTTAACCACTTACTTTTAATCTCTGGGATCATTATTGCTGTATGCCATAATGCATGTATCTGAAACAAATAATTAGAAAATAAATAATTAGCATTAAAAATACTTTTTTAAATTTCCAAACAACATTATGAATAATAATGATGTAAAATATTAATATTCTTATTTTTTACCAACAAAAGTATCGCAATGGTCATGACACCTGGCTTTATTGGTATACAACAACAACATTTTGTTCTAGAATGTTTAGCAATAACTTTCTTTAAATTACAACTTCGAGATTTAGGTTTTTTTTCATTTGGATTTTTTAATCCTGGCATTCTTGAAGAATTACGAAAAAAAATAAGTTTGTTTGTTTAATTCATTATACCACACAATAATGCATTATTATTGTCTATTTTTGTATCCATCTGTCTGTTTACGTGAATGAATGAATTTTTCTTACTACGCACAAACAATTATGTACCAACCATTTTCAAAAAAATCATTATTTTCCAAAAAAAGATATTTCCTCAAATTCCTCACTAAATATGGTTAAATCAGGGTTGGAAACCGGATATTAATATTTTTAGAAGTGAGTTGTACGTAGGTTGATCATCAGGTATGAGATCAACTTTCCTGTGTAGGCAAAGCCGTGTGTGCATCGTTCCACAGTTTTGAAATTCATTATGTTTTGGGCATTATGCAACTTTTTGAACATTAATTTGCATTATGCGCATGATGATCTTTTCTATGTATAACTGATTTATTTAAAAGTATAAATTTTATTCTTTGTAAATATAACAAATATAACCTAAATAAAAAAATTACTT